GGGGGGGGGGGGGGGGGGGGGAAGGTAAGGACTAGACAGGCTGAAACCTCCAAGAGAAATAAGTCTGCAGGTTCCTGCACAAGGTCCCTCCTTCCTGGTCTGGTCTGAGAAGTTTTCTATAGGAGCTGAAAAAGTTTCCTATCCTCTGCTTGTTTTCTAACAATGAGGTTTCTAAGAGAGGCCTCCTTACTGAACGCAGGGCAAGAAGTCACCAGCGATCTGATCCGATGGCCCCTCATTAACTACGGAGGATGACTGAAGAGCTCAAAGTATCACCAGCTCGTCTTACACTTGCCCCGAAGCCCCGGTCAGGTGGTGGACAGAGGAGCGCAAAGCAAGCGAGAGAACAGCCGCTGGTCCTTGGCGTCATCGCTGGTCACACCACGCCAGAGACGGCTCTCCCCTTCCCCTTCCCCTTCCCCTTCCCTCCCCGCTAGACGGAAGTGAAGAAGGGCGTGAGAGGGGACTGCCACACGGCTCACACGTTGTGCCCTTCGAATGGGTAGAATGAGTCCTCCTCCCTCCATTCCGCCCCCGGCGGCACTCGGCGGCGAGTCCCTGCGTCCCTTACGCCAAGCGAGCAGATACCGAAACGGCGACTTAACAGGCCCAGAGAGGAAAATGGCCCGACTCGAAGACTTGTCTCCGTTCTCCTACAGCAAGCCAACACAGACCCGGCAATGGTGGGAGTACTTGCAAATCAGTCTGAATTACAGCCTAACATCTTTCAGAGAGCGCTGCGCATTCGAAATCGGGAGGGGTGCGCGTGGCGACAGGTACACATGCTTGGGGGCACCGTCCTTCCCACGCCGTACTAGGACTTGACCCCGGTGGCCCCGCACAACCCAAGCGCCTCCTTTGAGCCCGTAATTGGCCGGACGGTTTGGCTCAAACCGGCCCAAAGTAGGGGAAGTCGGTCTTAAGGGGCAGTCCGAACGCCTGACCTACTCTCCGGATCTGTTCGCGCGCACCCCTTACCTTTCAGCAAGCAGATGTCAGTGTGCTCCGTGTCCTTGCGCAGCGCCCGCACCACCAGCGACACGGTGCTATCCTCCCGCACAGATTCGGCCCGCGGGCTCCGCCCGTCATACACAACCACGGCCGAGAAGAGACCCGAACGCAGGCGGGAGCGCACCTCGTCTTCCGCCGGTAAAATCTGCTCCAGGCTGATCGACCCTTTGGTCCGCCGGCGGACGATGGTGTTGCATCGCACGTTGAGCGCGCCGCGGATGTAGCCGGCGCTGTGAGCGAGGAAGGGCCTGCAGTCCAAGAGGAGACACTTCCCGCCCGCGGGAGCAGATGAGGAACCGCTACTGGTGCCGCCGCCGCCGCCGCCGCCGCCTTGATTGTAGCTCCCGCCGCTGCAGTCCCCCCGGTGCAGGAGGTGCTGAAGCACGCCGCAGTCCATCTCCCGTAGCTCCACCATGGCCGCCGACTCTGCGCAGGCTCCTTCCTGCCCCAGGAACGGCTACGGCCTTAGAACATTTTGCCCCCGCTTCCGCGCCCTCTCAGCTCAGTCATTAATAACGGGGCTGCTGTTGCTGGTAGTGGCGATGCTACCCGCGCGCTCGCTAGAGTGCGGGGGAGGATTCCTTTTACTACCTCGCTCCGCCCCCCACATCCTCTCCTCTCTCCTTTCTCCTCTCTCCGGCGTCGAGCCTCATTCTTGCTTCTCTCGGAGTGAATGGAACGCGACCGTGTCTGCCGACGTCACAATGGGAAAAATGTAAACGACGCCTCGGCGCTTCTGCTCGCCTTCATTCATTAGAAAGTTACGGCGAGGCGGGGTTTATGGGCGTTCTTCGGCAGAGCGAGCACTATTATTTTCGGCAGCCGCCGGCTTTAAGGGGAAACGGGGAGGGTTGGGTCGCTTTGGTGGAAGGAGGAGCGGTTCATCCAGGACTGAACTGGCGTCCAACGACTCCATGCAAGGTTTGTGGCTGCCTCCAGCCCCGCTCAGCAGGCTTTTGACTAGCATTATATATGCTGGTGTGTGACCGTAATAAAAATTGCGTTGATTTGATGTTGACTAACGTTACACGATTTCCCTTTCATAAAACAAAGAGAATTGTATAACGCTAGTCGAAATCAAACCAAACCAAACAGGCCAATTAGGAACTACTTCACAGTGACCCGACTATAGCACTGTATACATAAAACTTGCAGCCACTTCTCTGGCTTTCCCATCTGTCTTTTAGCGGCTCAGCTGCCAAGCTTGGTGATTAATTGAACCAGAGATTCAATAATCTGGTTTCTGCCCAAAAGCTCTGAGGTGCATTGATTTACCTCACAATTACTAATTCAACTGATTTTCCCCATAACCTTTCTGGATACCTTCATTTCCTTTCAAAGGCACAAGCAGTTGTAGAGTGGGCCTCTTGTGAATCACATAATCACAGTCAATACTGGGAGGGAAGGAGGGAGACATGGAAAAAAAGTGACCTTGACATCTTCAGCGGCTGTGGTTTCCTGTTGTAGTTCTGATTTGTCATCTCTTTTTGTAGCAATAATTTATCATGGGTGGAACTATTATAGGGCATCATCAAAATACGGGACCGCTCCCATTAGAATCAGTGGGCCATAAAACATCTTAAGAGCTGAGCTGGGTCCTGTCCCAGGTTGAGTTCAATAACCTAGAATTCTTCAGGCTTCCCTCCGTGTGTTTTTTTTTTTTAATATATGAAACTACATTTTATATGATTCCTTCCATATATGGGGTCCAGGGCGATATTCTCACCTCTTCCTGCCCAAGACCCTGACTTGAAACATGTCATTTTGAAATTAAACTCTAAACTACAGCCTATCCAGCCATTTGATGGTCTCCTATTCCTACTCAAAAATTGTTTGAACCAAACCAGAGGTTCCAAAGCAGCATAGAAAGGGCTGCAAGTTCTTTGGTTAAATCTTTGTAGAAGCCAGCTCCAAGAATATAAGGATGGTTTCAAGTCCTGTTTAATAACATCTGTCAGATGCTCTATGTGTGTGTCCATGTGTGTGTTTCCTGAGGGTGTAACTTTAACTCTGTTGAGGCAATTGAAAAGTTCATGTGGATGTGTAATAGTTGCATATTAGAAAGTCATGTGGATTGCCAAAGCAATATGTTACTCTCTCTCTCTTATACAACATAAATAGTAATTACCTTGGGGATTTGTATTGACATTTCAAAGTGAGGAGTTTCCATTCCACACCTAGTAATTATAATGTGTAAGGCGCTCTCAGCAGTCTTTCAGGGAAAGTAAGAAAGGTGTGTGTGGGAAAGGAGGTGAACTTCTCTCTCAAATTAATCAGGAAGATGAACTTACTTAAGTTGCCAATTTGAACTGATTTTCCATTTTTTAATGTGTCTGGTTAACTCAATTATGAAAACATGCACAGTGTTGGGTATGCCTCCCTGTTACACCTGAGTCATCCAGTGAACACTAAGTCCCCCTGATTTTAATAGGGGAATTAAGTGTGCATCTAATTGTCCCATTGAAGTAAAGACACGTTCATATTTCCTTGGTTAAATTAGCTTTTCCTTGACCTGGTGCTTTCCAGATATGTTGGCCAACACAGACACTATAAATGATGAATGGCAGAGAGCACCAAGTTGAGGAAGATTGGTCTAGGGAGCACCCAGAATTCTTCTATACAGTAGTGTCTTTATTTTTTAACCTTGTCTTGAATTTCAGCCTGTTGTTTTCTGCAGCCATCTTCCAGAAATAATCCTTCATGCCCGTGCAAGATGAGATCCAATAATATGCATTTCAGCATGCAAAATTTAACTACATGGATGAGTGCCTTCATCTTGCTCCAGCTGGTTACACGTTAAAGTTCCAAGTTTAGTAAGATAATTCTACTCTTAATTCTATGTATGTTTGGTCAGAAGTAAATCCAACTGCTTTAAGAGTTCAGTGCATGAAATCAATTACTGAATCATGTCCATTGTCAGGCGCCTGAGATCCACTTTGTCCTTCCTAAAATGTGGTTCCCAGAATAGGATGCAGTATTCTTGGTGTAGTCTGAGCAACGGAAAATAGAAGGGAATGATGATTTGTCTTGATCTTGACTTTTGTTTATGTAGGCTAGGATTGCATTTGCTTTTCTGCAGCTGCATCACACTGTTGGCTCATCTTCAACTTGTGATCCACCAGATCTTTTTTTGTACTTGTCTTTTCTCTGTCCCTGCCTGATAGTAGGGTACCACCACACATTATTTTTTGTGACACAAGCAGAAAAAAAAGTATTCTGGCAGGTATCAATTCATTGGGCCCCCAAAGCTCATAGGCTGGAGAGCAAATCCTATTCTAAAGTCAAAGACTCATGATCCTTTGAACCACAGCCATAATCCATGCAGTCTGACCTGCTTCCATTTCTGGACTGGCCATCTGTTTTGACTTTGCCCTTTGCACAGCCCTCAGCTCCCAGCAATAGGGTCAATCTTTTTGAAAATCAAATGTTGATCATCTCAGAGGGCATTCTGAGTGTTGTACCAACATGCTTTTGAGCTCCAGTGCTAATCCAGGATGTTGCACCAAGGGAGTAAAAGGCTATTCTACTAAATCATGGGAGCCATGGTTTTATTTATTTATTTTATTTTATTTTTCAAATTTATATATGCCGCCCATCTCACCATACAAGTGACTTTTAGTCTGGCATTTTATAAAAAGTAAGGATACAGTCAGTGTTCATTAACAAAGGAATCCTGGAATTCTGGAAGTTACCACAGCATCCTAACCACATTGACGGAGGTCCCTAATGCTTGGGCATTGGGAAAAATAGCTTTGTTTGCAGCAGACGTTCGTTCTGTACATTATTACAATAATGTAATATTGCTTTGGATCGGTATTAAAAAGAATAACAGCAGCAGTAACAACAAAGATTTCAAAGCTTTTTTAAAGAAATAAGGCCAGGCAGGAGGGACATTTGGAGTGTTTGAATAGATAAAATCTATTTTAAAAATCTGCATCTTAATCATATGAATATTAGAATTATGGACAAGAAACCTCAGTCCCCTGGCCAATTTCCTTGTCCAACAGACTTTGATTTCACTGTGCCATTACCTTGTGACATTGTCCTTTGGTTGGCTTATCCAGCGGCTGTTTTTGGGGACTGGCAAGAACCTTGCCTTGAGCAGTTTGTGATGTCTCAAGCCAAGTAAATAGCTAACCAACTGTGACTGATCTCAACAAGCTAAGCAGGACTGAGACTGTTTGGGCTTGGTTGGGAATCCCAGGGCTGTAGGCTTGACTGGATAGCTGAAAAATCCTTATGGTTGCCAAGAAAATGACATGGGTGTAATCGGATGAAGTCACCAAGAATTGGCTTGATTCGAAAGGGACTTCGCCAACCAAGCAACGAGATACAGCTTCTCGAAGGAATGCAATTAGATGTAAAATAAATCAGCAAATACAGGGAAATGTAAATCAAAAAGACCCAGGAAAAAGGCAGCTCATTTCTCCTCTCAACACTTTTCCAGTATGTGATAAGCATATGGAGAGAAAAGGGGATGGTTATGGGCCCGCTCCCAGGGTCAGGCATTCTGTAGACTTTGACCTGAATGACTGTCTACAGAATCACAGGTTGGAATTGGGGGGGGGGGGGGCAGAACCATTGCATATTCAGCATCTCCTGCAACAGAACCATGGCATGACTGGGATTAAGGAACACCCAGCATTTAGCAACATCAAAGGTTCAGGTTCTGGTGCCTCTTTGCAAGTGGTCAGCTTTGCCTATGAAGAACAGATCTATCTGTATGGATGAGGCTGAGCTAAAGCTGCTGCCCAGGATTCTCCATTCTTGTAGCTTGTAGTAAGGCTGGCCCTTTTATCTTGGTTTCTAGTCATGATGATCTATACAAACCCCAGTTGATTAAATGGGTCTACTTCTTCTTTTTCATCTGCTTCAGACTGATTTGATGGAGAATCCAGAATGGCATGTTATTTAATAAGCCAATTGCACTAGTTGCTGCCAGTTCAAATGTCAAATATTTCCTAAGTATTTCATAATGTGGCTGGAGATATTGCTATAGGTTATTGGGTAATCTGGAACTGGGTGATTAAGAGAAGGTATGAAGCATTAGCCCATGAAGAGGATGACTTGCTGCCCACTAAAGGAACATCTGTTTACCCTGTCAGACTATATATCATCAATTCTCACAAGATTTCTGAATTCTCACCTGAAATTTTGCCAGTCTCAGGAGATTTCAAGCGAGAATGGCAAAATCTTGCATGATTTCACCATCTGGTAAGATCTGGGCCAGTTTAATTTTTTTCTCAAATGATACTGCCTACAGCGTGAATTGCCTACAGTCTTCTCAGGGACCACCAAGACTCTCCAGGCCACACAAGAACCATTTCGTGCCAACTTGGTATTCTTTTTACAGTGGTGTGCATTTTATATTTGCCACTAGAAATATTCTAGCAAAAATTCTACAGCAGACTTTTGCATATATGGCCTCTAATAATCAATAAAATGTTGAAGTGCTACAAATTCTTGATTGATTTTCACCAGAACATATCTCAGGTGTCCTCTTAAATATTCACCAGTTTGCTGCCTCTGATCTTGGGAACTGCATTTAATTATTACAGCTCACTGATGGCCCTCTGTAAATCTCAGTAATTCTATCTCTCCCCACATCAACCCATGTTTTTTTTTAACTATCTGCTCCACAAAAACTCACACTGATACAGTCACTTTTAATCAGTTCTCCTCCACTAGAGACTTTGGGTTGCTTTGGAACTCAGAAATACACATATGGATGTGTATGTGACTTAAAGGTTCTATCTGGTAAATTCTATAACTCTTACGATGCTGTGTGAATGACTGCAGAACTGAATGCTTACTTCAGACGCATTGCATCATGAACTGTACAGTATTCACATATGATTTATTCTGTATATATAACTTGGTACCAATGCTGATGAATCTGGAATACGTTTACACATTCCTGAGTAGCATTCCCGTGACGTCAGCAGAACTCAGTCGCAAATTCCTCAAAAGGATGTCAAGCAGAGCTCATCTAATTCTTGGAGGAAGGAGTCGATAGGAAATTTGAGAGAAATCATGCCAGGAGCCATTCCAGACAGACTCCCAGTTGTGTCTTTACCTTAAAATAAGACTTCCAAGGTCACCAGTGGAACCCTCTCTAGCTGCCACACCTTCATTGTTTCAAGGCAACTTTATGAGCAACTCCCTCAAGTATTTGTATCCCCCTATCCCCCCAAAAAACAGCTTGATATGGTCCTTGGCCAAGGAAAGACTTTCAAAAGATCATCTGCCCCACAAGGCTGTAAAAGCCTGAAAAGCAACAGAAGCAGAAAGTTAGTGGTTTCCTTCCTTCCCTTCCCCAGAGTCAGGCTGTCCGTTACAGCAGTAGAAATGACTTTTTACGTGGTCTGCAAAAAAAGCTTTGGCTGAAGATCCAGGGGGAGCTTGAGCAATAGAAGATGTTGAACTGCCCTATAGGTCCTTCCCTAAATAGTCTTCCTGAGTTTCTCAGTTCTTTATTTGCCCAAAGGGGAAGGTTTCAAGTCCTGAAAAGCAATTCTAAAGTACCATTCATTTCCTTTGCTGCCAACCTAAAGGACTGGCTTTTATCCTACAGCTGCCAGGAAGGAACTCAGCGAAGGAATCCAGGGGGAATGGATTGTTCCTGGCAACAAAGTTACATGATGGAATCTCAACAGATCTCTTGAATTAAAGTATGAAGATGGGTGCAGTTGGTACCTGTCAACCTGATGCATCGTCAAGGACTCTGTGCTGCATATTGGCACTCTCAGCCTTATCACATTTACTTGGATGCAGGCAACCTTGATTTTAGTACTATTTATTTCCAAGTATTAGAAATGCAGATTCAGTTTTAATGCCAAGGTATAAATCAGACTCTGGCTGTAAATTTTAGAACTGCTTTAAAATCGAGAGCCATCTTCCTTTTTCCCTCAATGTGCATTTTAAAGTGGGATCTGAACTGACATTAGCATGCCTAGAGATGGACGCTGGAAAGTCCTCATTCAATAAAGCCTCAGCCTTAAATTAGATAGCATTGAATCAGGAAATTATAATATCACAGCCCTGGCAAACTCCTATTTGCAATGTGAAAGTAAGACTGGCCTATCTAACGGGGGTGTTGTAAGGCCAGCTAACGAGGCCAGATTCACATATCACTCTTGCCTCTGGTTTGTGGAAGGGGGAAAAATCACAACATCATGCTGAATAAAATACTAGATTATGCTTTTACAAAATGTGTGAATACACCTACAGTAATAGGAAATTGTTTGAAATATACTCTAGCAGAGCCTCTTCACACACAGCAACTTTAGACGTGTATCTAAAAATGAAAAAATGTGAGTGTGATTACCTGCAAGTTTGGGAATCGGTTTATCAAACAGATGGCCTCAAAATCTTTGGTCCAGGAGCATGAAATGGGTTTCTAAGGCCTTAGCATTTGCTCACACAGGCAAATGCAAAGTGTCAACTGATGAATATTCCCAGGAATTGTAAACAGTTTGCTTGTTCAGCTCAACGTTATGGGGTCTATGTAGATCACTGTTTCTCAGCCTTGGCAACTTTTTGATGTGTGAACTTCAACTCCCAGAATTCCCCAGCCAGCATGGCTGGCTGGAGAATTCTGGGAGCTGAAGTCCACACATCTTAAAGTCGCCAAGGTTGAGAAACACTGATGTAGACCATCTGCATGGAGCAAAAAGCAAGGGTTCTAGGGTTTTAAAAGCAGCTCCTTACAGTATGGAAAGGAATTCAGAATTGGTTTTAGGCTGAAATTACCTTGCTTCCCTCCCGGAATTTTACAAGAGGGACCATATTCCACCATCTTCCCCTGGAAAGCACCCTGTTTTCCCACAGCTTCTTCTTTCCTTTTTTTTTTTTTTTCCTACCACAGAAATTTCACTAAGGAAATACAGAATCACCACAGAAGACTGTTGCGATTGATAGTTACAATGACCTTCATTATAAAGGAGAGTCCTTTATTTCAGAAAGCTGTCCTTTAGATTTATTTATTTTTCAAAAACTCACTTTTGTCCTTTATTTTGGTCAAATACAGAATCACCACAGAAGACTGTTGCGATTGATAGTTACAATGACCTTCATTATAAAGGAGAGTCCTTTATTTCAGAAAGCTGTCCTTTAGATTTATTTATTTTTCAAAAACTCACTTTTGTCCTTTATTTTGGTCATTTAACTTTAAAATTAATTTACATATATTGTTTGATTTTACATATTTTTATTAGAATATGTGTTTTTGTAAAGTTTTTCTTGATTTTGCTCTTGAATTTTCCTTTGTAAAGCAAAGTTATAAACATAAACAGTTAAACTTTTTTATCTTTATGAACCTCTCTCAGATTTGCCCCTTTTTCAGATTTGTCCTTTATTTTTCACCATATTGTTAGTGCTTCATTTGAATGTTCCCCAACTCAGGATGAGGGGGGATATTTAAGATCAACTCTTGCCATTGCTATTATTTTGAGAACAATTACACTAATAATATAATGTTTCAAAATGCAGACATAGCCTGAAACGAACACAAGCACACCTAGGGCACATCAGGAAGGGAAAAGGGAGGACGAAGATACACACGGAGGGACTTTGCAAATATCAGCCGAAGAGGTGACCTGTTAAGAAGTGTTTAAATTCAGGGAAAATCAAGCTGATCATCCCTTTCAGGATATCCTCCTGCATGGAAAAATATGTGATCTTCTGGCATTCCTTGGTCCTCTGGCTAGATCTGGGGCCAGACTGACCTTCTCCATTAGAGGTGATTATCCACGCATTTCCTTCTGGAAAGCAGGGGAAAACCAGAGGGTGGTCTTCTAGACAGGAGGGTGTGCAAACTGCA